AAGTTTCATAAGGTGGGCACAAGGCTGAATGTGTCATAGAGTTTTTTAGACTCTTTAATTTGTTGTATCTTAATGTTTTTAGTATCGGTAGAAACTTAGTAATCCAGTTGGCTGGACCTGATTAACCTTCTTTCCTTTTCCTTAGTAGTTTGTTTGTCTTAGGTTCTAAGACTTTTGCATTTAAAGTGGAGGTATCCCAGAATGAAATTCCTTTGGAGAGACAAAAGCCAGAATTGTAAAATATCTAAATTATGCTGAATTATGAGAGGATTCTTTTTATAAATAATGAAACTCCCTGAATCTCCTTAAACATGGCGACTTGGTCCAGGTGGGGTAGAAGGTCTGGGGAGGCAGGCAGGAGTGCATAGTGGTGGGGAGGGTGTAATAGCATCCTCAATGTGTTTACCCAAGCCAGGATTTGGATTTGTGGTGTTTCTATAGTTCAGGAATATACCAAGTAAAATAGCTTTTTTTGCGGGGAGAGGGGGGAGTTGAGACAGGGTTTCTCTGTGTAGCCCGACTGTCCTGGAACTCCCTCTGTAGACTAGATTGGCCTTGAACTCACAGAAATCCACCTGCCTCTGCCTTCCAAGTGCTGGGATTAAAGGCTTGCGCCACCACTACCCAGCTCAAATTTTAACATCTTAGACAACTGAAAAATATTAGTGTGTGCATGTGTATGTATATATATGTATGTGCCCATTGTGTGCCTATGTGTGTATAAATGTGCATGTATGTGTATGTTTTTGTGTATGCATGTGCCTATGTATGTATAGGTGTGTGTAGGCACCTTCCATGGAATGCATGCAGAGGTCAGAGGCTCTCTTCACCTTTCTGTGTGCTTCAAGGATTGAACTCAGGTCACTAGTCTTGCACAATAAGTGTGCCTTCACCCTCTCACCAGCCCCCGAAACTCTAAAAACTATCTAAATATGAAATGGCTTATGGACTATAAAGAGTTAATGGAAATGCTCAGCACTCAGGACCCTCCATGGTTGGTGTGGGAAAATAAGACTCCCCTGGTGTATGATGTCTGTATGGATGGGCTCAGAAGCAGCTGGCACAAGGTTGAGGTGAGCTATGACTCTGGGGGTTCACTTGCTGGTTTGGCTACACAGGTGCCATTAGTGACCCCAGCACAACCCTTCCCTCCAGGCTGAAGGAAGCCTTTCTGTGCCAAGCTGATGGAAACAGCCCTGGTGTTTCCTGCTTCTCTCTTGTTCCTCCTCTCTCCAGAGCTGACTGTGGGAAGACTTTGTGACCAGCTCTGAATCTTTAGTTATCAGTCTTAAAAGAACCTTATGATTGGTGTCCTAAGTCTTCTTTGGCAGAGATGGCTCACACAACCTCACTGTTTTACAGGACTCCCAGTGCTTATTGTATAAGCAAGGTAGGCCTCAGAGTCAGAAGAATGTAGGTTAAGGATGAAGGCGTCAGTCGGTTTTGACAATTAGTACAGTTTTTATTTAACCATCAGCCCACATCATAGGTACAAGGAGAGATTTGTGTAACAGGTCAAATCTTACAAATAGACTTAAATATTTCCCTAACAAAGTAAGTTTCACAACAATGTAAATTAGCAGGAATACCCTGTGCTAGTTAGGGTTCCTGTTGCTGCAATGAAGCACCACGACCAAAAACAAGTTGGAGAGGAAAGGGTTTATTTGGCTAACATCTCTAAGTGCATCATTGAAAGGAGTCAGGACAGGAATGCAAACAGGGCAGGAACCTGGAGGCAGGAGCTGATGCAGAGGCCATGGAGGGGAGCTGCTTACTGGCTTGCTCCTCATGGCTTGCTCAGCCTGTTTTTTTTTTTTTTTTTTTTTTTTTAATAGAACCCAGGACCACCAGTCCAGGGTCTGGACCATCTACAATGTCTTGAATCCTCCCCCATCAATTAGTAATTAAGAAAGTCCTCTACAGGCTTGCTTGAAGCCCAGTCTTAGGGAGGCACTTTCTCAATCAAGGCTCCCTCCTTCTCTGATGACTATAGCTTGTGTCAAGTTGACATAAAACTAGCCAGGACAGCCCCCAAGTAGTAGAGTATTTGCTTTGCGTGTGGGAGTAAAGTCACCATGTGCCATAGTGCGTGTGTGGAGGCCAGAGAACAATCGGAAGTCGGTTCTCACTGTCCATGGTGTTGAGGTAGGGTCTCTCCTTGCTATCACCGTGCATGTGTGCCAGGCTACCAAGGCCGTGAGCTTCTGGATGGTTCTCTTTTCTCCGCCGTCCGTCTCACAGAGTACTGGAATCACACGTGCTTTCTGCGTGGGTCCCAGGGCTCAAACTGAGGCACTTAGGTTTGCACGGCAGGTACTTTTACGGACTGAAGCATCTCCCAGCACTACAATTCCTCGTAGTAGACTTTCCCGCTGCTAAGGTGGTGGCTGCCCAGTAAGTGAAGCTCTTACCCAATGGGAAAACACATAGACATTTGTTGGATAAAATCTAACCGCCAAGTTGTAAATGGCTGTATTAGTAAAAGAATAAAAACATCCTTGTTCCATAAACCAGACTTTCTGTAAATGTTACTGAGAGCAAGTCAACATTCGAGGAATCCTGGGAGGGCGGGATGGCACAGTGGGTAAGAGCGCTTCGAACTCCGTTGTGAAAGAGGAACTGAGTCTGAAAGAGGAACCGAGTCTAAATTCTATACGTGATGGGATGAAACACATAAGCATCATCTGTAAACCTTAAGATGCCTCTAGAAGATGGACTGTGGTGGTGCACACCTTTAATCCAAACACTTGGGAGGCAGAGTCGGACGGATCTCTGTGAGTTCAAGGCCGGCCTGGTCTACAGAGTGAGTTCCAGGATAGGCTCCAAAGCTACACAGAGAAACCCTGTCTCGAAACAAAACAAAACAAACAAACAAACAAAAAAATCGGCAGAAACATCTGGTAGCTTGTTACAGTCAAGTGAGGAGTCTCTGATGTAGGTCTCAGATGCCATCTGATGACATTCTTAGCCCTCGATTAGTGGGCACTAGGGGACTCAGAACATTCCAGAAGGATTTGCCTCAATCATAAAAATTTTGCGACAAACACAGAGGTGGCCTATGAATGGCTCTTAAGGGGGCTAAAGATAGCTCAGGCTAATTTGATTCTGGACTTGTAACATTCCTTCTCTCCACAATCACGGAAATGTAAGAAACAACGAAACCCCAGAAGCTCTGGAGTGTGAGGCTGCCCTGTGAATCATTAGCACGGGCCATACTCTTTTTCCTGGGAATGTTGGTGCGCAAGAATTTCTCTCGGGTGTGGGGGTGGGTGTCACTGCCATGCACAGTTGTGCTGGGGAAGTGCTGGCTGTAGTAGAAAGAGACAGACCACCAAGGTGGCAGAAGTTGGTGCCAGTCACTATCCCTGACTGACTTCAGGCGGTCTGGCTCACCACATCAGGTGTAGGTGCCCACTGCATAACTTAGAGCTTCACTGGAAGCTCTGAACTGGTTAGCTTGAAGAGGGTCAGGCCGGGGGCAGAGGGCAGAAGCAGCACCTTTTCTAAATAGGATCAAGGTCCTGGATTCCTTCCCCAGCACCACAAAGAAAAAAACAAAAATGTGGTCAATGACGTAGCCCCGCCCTCCTCTGCCGCAGATGGCTAGTTGAGCTGCTGCGAACTTCAATACTGTCTTTCAGTTTCCTTTTTTATTTATGTTTAAGACAGGGTCTTTCTGCATAGCCCTGGCTGTTGTGGGACTCACCACATAGACCCAGCTGGCCTTGAACTCAAAGAGATCCGCCTGCTTTTGCCTCCTGAGTCCTGGGATTTAAGGTGTATGCTACCACACCTGGCTGTCTTTCAATTTTCAATGTTTCATAATTGTGTGACTACTTTGTGCCAAAAATATGAAAAGCAGAAAAGTGCCCTGAACCCTATTTCTCCATAAGCCTCAGAACGTACAGTTAGTGTCTCTCTGTGTTCATCATGTAGTGCACTCGGTTGTACTCACGTTCCAGATCAGCCGTTAAGGAGTCTGCAGCTAGGGATGGGCTGCTGCGTGTCCCAGGACTGACCTGATGTGGGACACTGTGACTGTACCTTCAGCACTCAGCCCCTCCTCAGGGGTCTTCATTGTGTGTTCTTCGGGTGATGGCAAGAGAGGGTTTGTCCCTTTTTAAAATCAAGTCTTTAAAAGGGAAATTATTGAGACTCAAGGGTGTGTGAGCTACCTTCAGAATTGGGGTTGTAAACATCCTGGTAGCTTCTGGAGGATGTGGACGTGTGGATCATTATTCCAGTTTGACCTGGAGGGCCATGAGGGTAGCTTGGTTGGGGGGGGCCACATGGAAGTTGAGCCTGAATTGCATGTTGGACCCAGAGTTGAGAAGAGCCTGAGCCTCTTCCTACCTGACGCTTTCTTTGCCTTTCTGTACTCAGTGCCCCCCACTTCCTCCTCCCCTCTCCATTGGCTGACACTGCATCGTTCAATTATTGCTCAGTAATCCTGGACTGAGTCTCTAGGCCTGTGGCCCTTGCTCCACAGAGGAAGGGACCATCCCTGCCCAGTAGAGAGAGCCAGATGAGGCCGTAGAGGGCTCAGGGGAACTGGCTTTGGGAAAGACCATACACAGCTGGTCTGCCATGAGGTGGCGTGGCCCAGCGACAGCTGCTTCCTGTAGTTGGTAAAGTCAGACAGAAAGCTCACAGGTCGGAACTCTGAGCTGTACTAAGAGTAAGGAGGCCACGAGAGCACAGCCTTCCTGTGTGAGGCTGTGTGTGGCCCTGTTCCACCCACCGGCTTCCTGTGGTTTGGGAGGATAGCATTGCTCGAGGCTGGGCCCTGTGGAGCAAATGAGGTGGTAAGGCTGCTGAGAGTGTGGGCAGCCTGGGCTGGGCATCTCTGCTGCTGTGGGCTTGCTTTCTTACACACTGCGTTCCTGCACCCCCCCCCCCCACACACACACACACAAGCCCTGCCTCTCTCACGTGCCAAGTGTGAACATGAGCTGGCCACACAGCCAGCCCTGACGTTTCACCCACTTGGCAGAATGGCTATTTTTGTGCCCTGGGACATAGCTGAGTGGTCACTGTGCTATCCCAACTCCTGCCAGCCGAGTCCTGTTGCCCTGCTGTGGGAGGAGGCTGCAGACTCCCCCAGCCTTCTGAAATCTAGAGCCCAGGGAGAGAAGGAAAATGGAAGGGCAGGTAAGGAGCCAGGGGGTCCTGAGTCCCTGCCTGGGCTGGGAGGGTGGAAGGCGGCCCTCATGAAGGCCCTGCTTCCTGCTGGGAAGGGAAGAGCAGGGGCAGGCTCAGAGCGGCTTTGAGGACACCAACCCTGCTGACCTAGATTCCCTGGTTCCTCTTTGAGCAGAAAGAGCCTCGTCTCCCCAAACATAGAAAGCCGGGCTCATCCCTCCACTACAAGAAGGTTGTACTGGTTCCCAAGCAGCCAGCCAAGCCGGGTGGCCTGATAGGGCACCTCGACCTTGGGGACCTTGGCCTTGGCCACTGTAGGGTGGAGTTGCTAGGATAAGTTATAGAACAAAAACTTGAATTTGGCATAAAGTGTGGGGACAGCAGAGAGAAGACACACATAAGAAGGTAACTGTTGTAGGACATGGAGTGAGGAGAATTTAGGTATGAATTTATGTATTTTTCTCATTGATGAGCTCTTGTGATCAGGCCTCCCTCCTGAAGGGCCCGCGTGCTTCTACCAAGATCTGAACCAGGCCCCTCCCAGGGGGCCTCAGGGGCAGAAGGTCGGGTTCCCTATCCCGTTTAGCCCTTGTAGCTCACCTTCTGTGGCAGTGTTTGGTGCCTTAAGGATAAGTGAGGAGGGGTGTCAAGGTGGCGGGGGGCGGGGGGGGCGGGGGGGGGCGGGGGGGAGGCTGGAGTGGCCACTGCCGCAGTACAGGCCTCAGTGTGGGGTGAAGGGGACACACTGGAAGTGGGAACGGATGCAGCCCATGGTTGTGCTGGGGTTCTGTGAGCACTAGGACGGCCACAGGCTGCTGCATAGACTCACAGCAATCGCCGTCTCTCTCTCCACAGAGCACCGTGTCCTTGCTGTGTGTCAGGAATGGTCTTGCTACCCTGTGTTTGTTTCCTCCTACATACCACTGGCTGGAGTAGCATTTTAGGAACTTCCTTCCTTAAAACACATTGACTGAGATTTTCTGAGTTTATAGTCAGACCTGGAGCTCAGATATTTGACTGCTGAGTAGAAGATGACCCCAGTGCATGAGAGAAAGTGGGACTCTTTTCTTGCCTTCTGTGGTTACCTTTCAGGCCGGTCTTCTTGGTAGCTGCGGGTCCCAAGTGGTAACACTCCACTGCCATGTGCTCTGTGGAGGCTGAGGCGGTTGTTCTGGGACCAACTTAAGTTTGTTCCATTTGAATCTCTACCTTCCGGAAAATCTAGTTTAAATGTGTGGAATATGGCGCCAACTTAATGCAAATGTGACAAGACCCCTGTGCTTGACCAAGGTCTGTGAAAGGCCTCCAGAGATCCTGCACCTCCGGGTTCGCTCCCAGGAGGACTCCTCAGTGTCCTGGAGAGTCTGGGGTGGGGCAGGGACCTCATGGAGAAAAGCAGTAGGGGAGGGGCCTGAAGGCGTTGGGGGCACCGGCATGCCACACCCCACCCAGCTGAGCTTCTCTTCCCGCTCCGCCTGTGGCTCCCAGCCTCGCCCCTTGGCACACATTACCTCTCCTCTAATTCTTCCGCGTGGTAGTCCTGGGACCGCCTCAGACTTCTGACAGCATGAAGAAAGGCTGCGCGTTTACAAGGGCTGGACTTGGCCTGAGGGAAGGAACACCAGGCTCTCCCCATGCCCGGGAAAAGCTGGAATTCAGCTCCCCCAGTTTGCTACGTTGTGAACTGCAGTGTGTATAGTAAAGTGTATGACTAAGAATGATCACTGTAATGGGTATTATACAGGAAGTACCCACCTACTTCTCTAAGAGCACCTGTCATGCTGTGCAGTATGTGTAAGATAACTGATATACTGTATGTGTGGAGTGGACATTATGCGTTGTGTGGCTGTTCACGCATGTGCTATATGTATGTGTATGTGTAGTGCACATGTGTGTATTATGCATGTATGATTACTGCTCACTTGTATGCTATTCATGTGTGTGCGCTTGTGTGTGTAAGTGCACCTACCTTATGTACATGCATGCCTTGGAGCATGGTGTTCTGCCCTGGCCTGGGGTGGTATCCTGGTGTAAGAAACAGCCACGCCTGTGAGCCCAGAGGCCTGTCACAGGCCCATTGTGTAGTCATCAGGCCTGGGAGCTTTGGCCTCCCTCTGCTCCCCTTCCCACCATCACCACTGCTCGGGCCAGGGCAGCATCAGAAACACCCTGGAGGCCGCAAAGATTCTGGAGCTGGGGACTTGGGGTAAGTGAGGGAGCGGGGTTCTTCACTTGCTTCTTTGCTTGGCGGCACTGGGGTGTGGTCTGTCGTTGGAGTTGTGTCTGCTGCCCTCACTGTCCACTTTCCTGTCAGTCTTCCTGCCTCATCCTGTAGACACAGCCCAGGGCCGGAAGGACTCAGCCTCAATCACCCAGCCCATGCTAAAAGCCCTCAAGGGGCATTTTCACTTCCCTCCGGTTCCCCGGCTCCTCCAAGGGTGCTCAGGGGCTCCAGGCCGTGCTGATCTCTCACGAATGGCCTTGTACCCCTGTGCAGTGGCCCATTCTGCTTGCTGGGATGAGGTACCTGCAGCTCCAGTGAGATGCTTTCTTTCCGCTGGGCCAAAGCTATCCCAGCTGGCAGTCCTGGCAAAGCCGCGGCTCAGAAGGCCTGGTGCTGGATGAGAGTGGGATGGGCTTTGTTTCCCTGAGACTTGGGGCTCCTGCTCTGGGGAGCCCTCTGTGAAGTAGTTCTTCAGGAAACTGTAGTTGTTTTTATTCCTTTGGCTCTTTGGGGGGCCCGCCACCCAGCTCCCAAATAAATACACAAGGAGTCTTATTCTTTCTTTTAAATGCCTTAGCTTGGCTTATTTCCAGCCAGCTTTTCTTAAATTATCCCATCTGCCTTTTGCCTCTGGGCTTTTACCTTCCTCTATTTCTGTATATCTTTCTTTACGTCTTACTCCATGGCTTGCTGTGTACCTGGCTGGCTGGCTCCTGGAGTCCTCCCTCTCCTTTCCTTGCTCCTTGATCTTCTCTTCCCAGGTTTTTCTTCCTGTTTCTTCTCTCTGCCTGCTAGCCCCACCTATCCTTTCTCCTGCCTTGCCATTGGCCATTCAGCTCTTGATTAGACCAATCAGGTGTTTCAGGCAGGCAAAGTAACACAGCTTCACAGAGTTAAACAAATGCAACATAAAAGAACGCAACACATCTTTGCATCTTTAAACAAATCTTCCACAGCATAAACAAATATAACACATCTTAAAATAATATTCCACAACAGGAAACCTAATCAACGTGGCTTGTAAGACAGGGACGTCTCACTGCTGTTTGTCACAGTATGCTTACCGCAGGCTGGAGTCACACATTTAGCAGCTCTGGGACCACACTCTGTTTTGTATGCTTTACCTGTGTGAATGGTAGATTCAGAGTAATGGTGGTGCAAGGTGACAGAGCTGGAGACTCATGTGTGTCCTTGCCTCCTGAGTGGGCAGCTGCTGGTGTGACCTCAGGGTGTAGCGCGGTGCTAGCAGACCTTGGCTTCTCCCCCTTAGAAACAAGTGTGGGCTTGCGTCTGTACATACATCATCTCACAATCCCGAACGGCGACTGGGCCTTGCATGTCCCTTTCTGCTCAGAGGGGAAGAGGAGCTCAGAGTGGTGTTTTCCACCTTCCCTGGGACAGCAAAAAAACTCATCTGGAGACCCTCCTTCCCCCTCCCCTCTCTGTCTCTCCTCCCACTCGTTAGAACTGGGTCACGTGTCCTCCAGGGCACCTGTTCCGGAGGAGAGAGGTGCAGCCTTGTGGTTTGGTATTGGGCTGGGGCTCTGTTCTCGGAATCCAGGGATACACGCTGCTGTAATGGCTATGCTCTGTCCAGCTTCCAGGTGCTATTAGCTAACCTTGGGTGATTCTGGTGCCACTAAGCAGAGTTCTGTCAGGAATTGGAGGGGCTGGTGTGTGACATTTAATTGTACCTTTTAATCCACTAGTCCATGAAATGTAATGCTACAGGATCCCCATGGACTCAGCCATGGTTTAAAGGTAATTTTTGTTACTTTTTAAACTTGTCTGAATCCAGTAGAGACACAAGTCCACTGGAGCCCAGAAGGCCCGTGTGAGCTGCTGCGGGAGAGACCTGACGTTCCCGGCCTGTGGTGGTGCTTTAGCACAGACGCCCGAGGCTGCAGACCTTGGCTGTGGGCTGCCCGCTCAGTACCAGAGGGGTAGGATTGAACCTCGTTCCTGGATCCCTGACTGTGGGGCCTGTGTTCTTGGTCTGTGCACGATGTGGCCAGGCCCAGCTGGTGGCGACAGGCTTCGTAGCTGTGGCCCTGTATGGCTGTTCTCGCTCCTTTTCAGAGCCTCTGGGGTCTCTTTCCTGGTTGTGCTTCTTATGAACTGTGGATTCAGTTTGTTCCAAGGTGGTAGGGGAGCTTTGGCTATTGTAATTAGCTTTCAGTAGTATTTATAAGCAGCTTATGCATGGAAATGGCTTATGGTGTGCCTAAGCGACCTGAGACCACACCCACTTCACCATGGTTATGTGGGTCAGCAGTTTCATCTGGGCCTAAGTAGGTGCTTCTGGCCACCTGGAATTGTTTCTGTTCGCTGACAGTTAACCCAGGGTCTGGTAACCTGGGCCGGGTTGGGCTCATCATCCAGGAACCTGACCGAAGCATCCCCATTTAACGGCCAAAGGTCATACATAGCAGGCTGCAGGGTCTCTGAAGGCAATCCTGGGAGTTGTAAATGCCACTGCCATCCAAGCAGCCAACCCAGGTCCTGGGTCAGGGTTCAGCCGACATCTGAGAAGCAGCAGTGTGGACTGACTCAGAGCGTGCTCGGAGAGGTCCCCCGCAGCCTGATGCATGGGGCCTCACTCAGTTGGATTTTCCGTTGCTCAGCACATTTCACCTACAGCCCTTCGTACCGTGTGCATTGCCCACAGCTGTGTCCTCCAGCCTGGACACACGAGGGGCTGGTATGTCTTCGTCTGCCTGACCACAAAGCACTTGTAAGCTCACACGCCACTTGCTATGCAGAAAACCTCTGGGGGTTCTAGCTC